GAGACATACAAAAAAATGAAACTAGACCACCAGCTAACATCATACACAAGGATAAACTCAAAAGGGATAAAAGTCTTAAATGTAAGTTGTGAAACCATTAAAATCCTAAAAAACAAAACAAAACAAAACAAAAAGAACAATAGGTAGCAAAATCTCAGACACCTTTCATAGCAATATGTTTATGAATACATCTCCTAGGGCAAAGGAAACTAAGGAGAAATAAAACAAATGGGACTACATCAAAATAAAAAAACTTCTGCACAGCAAAAGAAACCATCAACAAAATAAGAAAGCCCACTGCATGGGAGAACATATTTGGCAATGATAGAGCTGATAAAGGGTTAATATCCAAAATACTAGTATATAAGGAACTTGTACAAAGTAACAGAAGGAAGTCAAATAATCAAAAAAGTAACAGAAAGAAGACAAACAATCCAATCAAAAAATGGGCAAAAGACCTACATAGACACTTCTCCAAAGAGGACATACAGATGTCCAAGAGACATATGAAAAAATGTTCAGTCACTGATCAGCCCCAGCTGGTTTGGATCATTGGATAGTGTCAGCCTGCAGAATGAGAGGTCCCAGGTTCAATTCTGGTCAAGGGCACATGCCCGGGTTGTGGGCTCACTCCCCAGTAGGGGGTGTGCAGGAGGCAGCCAATCAATAATTTTTCTCTCATCATTGATGTTTCTCTCTCCCTTCCTCTCTGAAATAAAAATATGTTTTTAAAAAATGTAAATATGGAACTTCCATTTGACCCTGAGATCCCACTTCTAGGAATACATCCTAAGAAACCAGAAACACCAATCAGAAAGAATGTATGCACCCCTATGTTCATAGCAGCATAGTTTACAATAGCTAAGATCTGGAAACAGCCCAAATGCCCATCAGTGATGAGTGGATAAAAAGCTGTGGTACATTTTTGCCATGGAATACTATACAGCAGCAAAAAAGAAGAATCTCTTACCCTTTGAGACAGCATGGAGGGACCTGGAGAGTATCATGCTAAGAGAAATAAGTCAGTCAGAGAAAGGCAAGTATCACATGATCTCACTCATATGTGGAATCTAATTAACAAAATAAACTGATGAACAGAGTGGATCCAGAGACATGGAAACATAGAACAGAGTGCAGAATCTCAAAGGGAAGATGGGGGATGGTGGGTGGGTGGGTGGAAGGTAATTAACCAAAGACATTGTATGCAAACCTGCATAACCCATGGACACAGACTATATGGTGCCGAAGGCCTGGGACAGGGGCAAGGTGTAGGGGTGGTTGGAGGGAGTTAACGGGGGGGGGGGGGGGGGGGGGGGGAGAGGACATATGTAATACTTCCAACAATAATTACTAAAAGAAAAAACTGAAAAAAAAATATTAAAAATAATAATAATAATAAAGCAAAATACAAAACAACCATCATTCAGAACCACCTGAAAGTTAGCTGAATGGAAGCCTACAACTAGAGAAGTAAAGAAGCATGTTGATATTATCGATAGCAGAAGAGCTGGAGGCATGGAACAGTCTGGTCCAACACCCACGTGTGCCTTTTTTTTTTTTTTTTTTATCAGGAGGGATGTCTCAGCTGCAGAAGTCCCCTGTGAGAAGCAAGGGGTCCCACCCTCATACCAGGCTTCCATATCTAGGAAGAGAAGTCCCTGTGATTTCGGGCTATGAAAATCAGTGGGTCTGTGGCTGAGTGACACAGAGACTGCTAGAGAACCAAGTGCTCCTCTGAAAGGGCTGGCACACAAACTTACTTGGACTCAATCCCTCTGAGCTTCAGTGCAGGTGACTTTGGGGGACCCAGGGACATTCATCAGGGAACTGGATTGTTTGGCATCAGAGCAAGAACTCAGGGGCAGCTTTCTCCCAGATGGGGGTGCTCACAGGGGTCATTGTTTCTGTGCTGGGACCTCTTGCATTGAAGAGCTGACTGGCAGCCATATCTGAGTTTTCAGCTGTTTGCATCGGCTTTTCCTTATGAACAGCCTCTCCTTGTTCAGGCTTCAGACTTTGCTAAAATCCCTCAAACAAGAAGCATCAGGCATCAGCATGCCCAAAAACTATCAATGAAAGATCCAAAATCTGGCACTAGCAACAACCTGCTTTGCTTCACAGCTGGGCCTTGCCTGGGAACTTTACAAACCCAATACAGGTAGCAGCCATCTGCAGATCTCTCTGTAGCTCCTGCTGGTTGGACCACCTCAGTGGCTGACATTGTACCTCCCAGGAGGCATCTGGTGGATAGCTTCAGACCATACCAGATCACAATCCTACGTATCTACAAGTGACACACTCAAGGGGCAGGCTCAGTGAACATCAAAGCTCCACTGAAGCAAGTCCTGCACCAGAGGGATATCTCCTGCACAGCTGTTCTCCCACTGTAGTCATAGCTGGTCTGCACAGCCAAATGGTCAAGAGGTCAACTCCTCCTAGTGATACAAACAGCGGTGAAGTCTCAACTCTGAGACTGTGCACACAGCCCACACATTAGCACACCTAGAGTGCCCAGCTCAGGTGACTGGGAGGCTGAACCACTAGGCCCTACAGGACATCTACCATTGTATATGAGGTCACTCTACCAATTTTAGGAGACATATCAGCTCTACCTAATACAAAGAAATAAACACAGGGAAGCAGCCAAAATGTGGAGACAAAGAAACATGTCATAAATGTGCAAAATGGAAGCAAGCAAACTACTGGATACAGAGGAATTGGAATCTCCGTACATTGCTGGTGGCAATGTAAAAATGGGCAGCTGTTGTTGAAAATCGTTTGATGGTTCCTCAAAAAGTTAAACAGAATCACTACTTGACCCAGCAATTTCGCTTCTACACATACATCTGAAAGTTCTGAAAACAGGTAATCAAATACTGTATAGTTAACGCTCATTTAACATCAACAGTTTTGCCACTAAGGGAAATGACATATAACAAAACCAATTTTACCACAGGCTCGTCCTGTATAATAAAAGGCTATATAAATTGTCCTACTGTGGGAGTTCAACCGGCCCGGGGGTTAGATGTGCGATGACCACCAGGGGGTGGTGCAGAGCATGGTGGGGGTCAGTGATGCAGTGCTGGCAGCAGGTGGCAATGGAGGTGCTACTGCCCTGATGGGGCCCAATGAGAGTGGGACTGGGACGGGTTGGTGGAGGTGAGTGGGCGGTGCCAGGCCAAGGCAGGTGGGAAGGGAGGCCCTGGCTGGCAGCCAGCAGCCATTAGGGACCCTACCTGTGCATGAATTTCGTGCACTGGGCCTCTAGTTCATACATAAACAAGAGTGAAGTTCCTACAGCAAACCATCAACGTATAACAAAACAACTTTGAATGATGTTTTTGGAGAATATGCACCAATATTCACAGCACTAGTCACACAACAGGCAAAAAGTGGAAACCTAATGTCCATCAACAGGAAACAAAATGTGACAGAGTTATATAATGGAATAATTCTCAGCCATAAAAAGGAATGAAGCCCTGGCAGACAATGCAAAGTAAGTGAACCTTGAAAACATTCTTCTAAGTCAAAGAAGCCACACCGAAAGGCCACAAATGGTGTGGCTGTTGGGAATAGGAACTGATTAAACGATTACCGGGTTTTCTTTGGTGGTGATGAAAATATTTTGGAACTTGATAAAGGTGGTGGTAGCATAAAATGGTAAGTTTTATGTTATGTGTATTTCACCTCAATAAAATATTTTTAAAATCAATAACATTTTTAAACATTGCCAGTTAGAAAATACAATGCAGCCGAAACCAGTTTGGCTCAGTGGATAGAGCGACGGTCTGCGGACTGAAGGGTCCCAGGTTCGATTCCGGTCAAGGATATGTACATTGGTTGCGGACACCTCCCCGGTGGGGGTAGTGCAAGAGGCAGATGATAAATGATTCTCTCTCATTGATGTTTCTGACTCTCTATCCCTCTCTCTCTCTGTAAAAAATCAATTAAAATATATTTAAAAAATATTCATCTCCTTTAAAAAGAAAGAAAGAAAGAAACAAAGAAAGAAAGAAACAAAGAAAGAAAGAAAGAAATTACAATGCAAATCCACACTCCCTTCCCAAAACAACAGGAAGCAAACTACTTAGGAACATTCAGGTGTAACCTTTAGGACCTATTGCAAGGTTCCTCCAGAGGAAAAACAGAAGTTGAAAACAAACGCGACCTGCGCTGCGTTGCTCCTGGGAAGGGAAGCCTCCGCTAGGGTGCTGGTGTCGGTGCCCCTACTTAATTCACAAACGCAATGCCATTCCGAGTCTGTTCGCACAAGGACCCAGAGCTGGACAAAGTAACTGAAGCTGGCTTTACAAAATATAATGACGATACTCTTCAAACTTCTGCGAATGGAGCACCAAGCAGACTCACTGGACACCACACTCCGCCAGGGCTGCAGCAACGGCGGCCACAGGGAAGGGAAGGGCCGGGCTGGACCTAGGAACGGAAGGTCCGAGCCGCTCCCTCCCGCGGCTGCTGGGCAGCTCCCAGGCTGCCGGGCGGGGTGGGGATTTGGGAGGGAAATGGGAGGGTCGGCTCCCGTGCTCCGTAGGCCGACGCCAGGCCGTGAGGGCTCCAGTGCGCGTCTGGTCCGCGACCCCCAGTCACCCCGCGGCCGTCGGGCTCTCAGGTCGACGCCGAGACCCCGGACCCCGAAGCCACCTGACAGCGTCCTCCCGGGGCCCGCAGGACAGCCCAGGCTCGGCCTCCCGGGCGGCCGAGTCCCGCTGGCCACACCTTCGCAGCCCGCGGGCCCAGGCTCCGTAGCCCCAGGCCTAGCTTTGCCCTCCGGCTTCGCCCGGAGCCCCGCCCCAGCCTCCGCCCCCTGGCCCCGTGCCCGCCCCTATGACCCCGCCCCTACGACACCGCCCCAATAGCCCCGCCCCCAGACCCACCTGCTGACCCCGCCCCCGACGACCCCGCCCCCAGGCCACCTGCCGGCCCCGCCCATTAGGCCCCGCCCCCAGGCCACCTGCCGCCCCCGCCCATTAGGCCCCGCCAGCCGCAGGCTCTCCCGACAGGTTTCTCCCTCACCGGTCTCGCCCGGCGCAGAGGCGTCCATGGAGCAGGAGGTGCGGGTGCTGCGCGCGGCCGGAGGCTTCGGCCGGGCGCGGCGCCTCCTGGCCGCAGCTTCGTGGCTGCCGTGCGTGGCGCTGGGGCTGGCGCTGGGCTCGGAGCCCCTGCTCACCGCGCTGCCCGCGCACCACTGCCAGCCGGACCCCGCGCTGCTGCCCCCCGCGCTGCGCTCCCTGAGCGGGCCCGCGCTGCTGGACGCCAGCGTGCCCCGCCTGGGCCCCGCGCGCGCCCGCAGCCCCTGCCTGCTCCTGCGCTACCCCGAGCCCTCGCCCGGCGCCCGCCCCAACGGCACGCGGTCCTGCACGCGAGGCTGGCACTACGCGCTGCCCGCCGCCGGCCTGCTGCGCAGCCCGGTCACCCAGGTGCGAGAGGGCTGCTCTTCTGCCCCCTGTCACCCGCCTCTGCTCCTCTCCTTCCTAACCCCCTTGTTGTTCCCCATTCCTCTGCCCTCCTGTCCCGCTTCCCCCATTTCTCTGTTCTCCTTCCTTTATCCCCTCTCCTCTGTTCCCCCTTCTTCCTCCCCCTCTTTTCCCCCTCCACTTTCTGTTCCCCCTTCTGTTCCCCTCCTTTCTCTCTCTTCCTCTCTCCCCCTCCTTCCTCCCGTTTTTTCTGTGCCCCCTCCTTTCTTTCCCGTTCTATCCCTCTTCTCTTTTCCCCTTTTTTCTCCCACTTTCCTCTATCCCCCTTCCTCCGCTACTCCTTTTCTTTGTCTCCCCTCCTTCACTCCCATGTCTGCCCTTGGTCTCCTGAGGCTCTCATTTGGGCGTGCTGCCCCCCTCTCTGATGGGGCAGCTGGTGCCCTGGTGATTGGGGTGCCAGGTAGAGTCCAAGGCCCACTGGCTGCCCAGGTGGGCAGGCAGCCTGGGGGAGGAAGACGAGGAGTTGAGCTGAAGGTATGATCAGGTAGGCGTCACCAGGAGTTCAGTGCCAGGAACACTTTGAGCAACCTGTAGCTTTGGGCGATGTCCAGACTGGGTTTCCAGAACAGAAGGCTTTGAATCCAGGGAGCGATACCGGCAGTTCAGTGGGGAAAGGCAGACCTCCCACCTGTGAGGCGGGTGCAGGATGGACTAGAGGCAGGGGTGCCCGAGGGGGCAACTTGGGGGTCTGGGCGAGAAGAAATGGGGGAGAGGGCAGCTAGTACCTCCTGACCTAACTCCCTTTGGCAGCCTCGGCCCCACAGCTGCGCCCCAGCCCTGGGAGGTTCGGCCGTGTGGAAACTGGAGCGAGGTTGCCACATCCCTGCTGGTCCTGTCTTTGGCCCTCCAACCAGCAGGGCTTCCCCCCCCTTTACCCCCCCCCCCCATTCTGTTCCACCACACACCTGCTTCCTGCTGGTGTAGCGATCAGGCAGCTGGATTTTAAAATTAAAACTCTGACACACCGTGACTCCACACAGTATGTTAAGCTTGTACAAGAGGCACAGGACCTTAGTGGGAAGGTGGGAGGTGCAAAACGGAGGTCAAGTGCGCTTGCCAGGAAAAGCAGGTGAGCACAGCTCTGCAGGCGGTTCCGGGAGCTGCTCTTGAAGTGAGCAGGGCAGGGGCGGAGTGAGGGTAAGGCCCGGGAGGCCCTGGGCACAGCAGGTAGGAGCCAAGGTCAGCCAAGGTCCAGGCACTGGGGAGAGTGAGGGCTGGAAAGAGGTGAATGAAACTCCATCCAGAAAAACAGAATCCAGCCTTGGGGCTCCATGTGAGTACTCTGGGGACCACAGGTCATCACCCCTTGGGGGCTCAGCCCAGACATCTTTCTGATTCCATGCGAGGCCCACCAGAGTCAGGAGACCACACTGTGTGACCTCGAGCAGGTCCCTTCCCTCTCTGTGCCCCCATTTCCCCTTCTATCAAGGGAGGATTGGAGCAGGATGTCTAAGTCCCCCTCCAGCCTGATACTCCGGGAACTTCAGCAAGGGGGGGGGGGGGTCTGGCTGGCTGACAGTGACGGTGTCCCCTGCAGTGGAACCTCGTGTGTGAGAATGGCTGGAAGGTGCCGCTGGAGCAGACAAGCCACCTCCTGGGCTGGCTGTTGGGCTGTGTCATCCTGGGCACGGGCTGCGACTGGTGAGGTGCTGCCCCTCCCTGGAGCCCCTCAGGGCCCAGCCGAACCCCTGAGCTGCCCTGACTGGCTCCCGTGTGTGTCCCCCACCGCCCACCAGGTTTGGCCGCAGAGCTGTGTTTGTGGCCTCCCTGGTGCTGGCCACAGGCCTGGGGGCCGGAGAGGCCCTGGCTGCCAGCTTTCCGGCCCTGCTGGGCCTGCGGCTGCTGCACGGGGGGTCCTTGGCAGGGGCCTCTCTGGCCCTCTACGTGACTCGTGAGTACTGGGGGGAGGGGGACTGGAGAGGGGCACCCACTCAGGCTCGGCCTCCCACCCCACTGGAGGGGACGACAGCCGCATGAGGGCTCTTCTTGGGACGATGGAGGGCGCTGTTTGCTGTCTGCTGTTTGCGGGCGGGCTCAGGTGCTGGAGTGGGCAGTGAGTTGGCTCAGATGCCCACTCCTGGGCAGGTCAGCAGTGGTGCCCACAGCCCCGGGCAGAGCAGCCTCGGCCTCAGGCGTCTGTGTCTGCTCAGGCCTGGAGCTGTGTGACCCCCCGCACCGCCTGGCGTTCTCCATGGCGGCCGGCCTCTTCTCCGTGGCGGGCGCTCTGCTGTCGCCTGGCCTGGCCCTGCTCGCACAGGACTGGCACCTTCTGCAGGGGCTCTGTGCCCTGGCAACGGGACTCCTGCTGCTCTTCTGGGGGTACGTACGGCAGGAGACAGCCGGCAGCCTCCTGGGAGCCACCGTCACTTCCTCCACACCTCCGAGCAGCGCGAGGCGGGAGGGTGTAGCTGGGGATGCGGGAAGCCACGTCCTGTCCTGGCCCTGGCTCCAGGGAGGACGGGCACTGGCCCTTGTTACCCTCTGTGTGGAAGACCTGCAGGCACCTTACCCCACCCCTGCAGGTTCCCAGCCCTGTTCCCCGAGTCTCCCTGCTGGCTGCTGGCCACGGGGCAGCTGGCCCGAGCCAGGAAGATCCTGTGGCTCTTTGCGGAAGCCAGCGGCGTGGACCCTGAGAGCAGCTGTGAGGAGGAGAGCTCCCTGGCTGCGGGTAACGCGCCAGCCGGGAGGAGGGAGCCTGGGTGCGGGAGGAGGGAGGGCGTCACCCCACCACACACCTTCTCCTGCTCTCTCATGTCTGTAGAGCTAGAGGTGCTGTCTGCTGAGAACCCCCAGCCCCAGCGCCACTGGGTCCTGGAGCTGCTGCACACGCGCGTCGCCTGGAGAAACGGACTCATCCTGGGCTTCAGTTCGTGAGGAGAGGAGGGTGTGGGTGGGCTGAGAGGGATGTGTGCCCCCCACCCCCACCCCTTCTGGGGGTTCAGTCGCCGGAGTCCTGAGTTCTGGCTGAATGCATAGCTTTGCCCTCTCCCCCAGGTTGGTCGGTGGGGGCATGAGAGCCAGCTTTTCCCGAAGACTGGCCCCTCAAGAGCTGGCCTTCTACGGACCCTACTTCCTGGGGGCTGGCCTGGAGGCGGTGGCCACCGTCTTCCTGCTGCTGACGGTGGACCGCTGGGGGCGCCGCCTGGTCCTGCTGCTGGGCACGCTGGTCATGGGCCTGGCGTCCCTGCTGATTCTCTCGGGGGTCCAGTGTGAGTGCAGGGCCCCGTGGGCGGACAGGGTCACCCTGTTTGGCTGAGGTCAGCCCGATAGAGAGGGAGGGTCCTGGGATCAGCCCCCTCTGGGGCCGTAAGAGAGAAGCATGTGTGTTGGGATGAGGCTACTGTTCGCTTTACCTTGCTCATCTCCCCACTGTGCACCCAGAGAAACTGAGGCCCACGGAGTTAAGGGCCTACAAGGATATACACGAAGGGGCTAACTGTAAGGGTCTGGTCTGGACGGGGGCGCCTGGAACGCTGGTGCCAAACCCAGAGTGCAGGTGCAGGGGTGAGGAGTTGGCGGGGGGCGGGGGACAGGCCCGGCAGGACCCCTTGAGACATGGACAAGGGGGGAGCCTGGCACCTGGGGCCTGGTCAGCATGGGACCCCTCTCTTCACCCCCAGACCTGCCGGGCTGGACTGTGCTGTCCCTCTCTGTCCTGGGGCTCCTGGCCGCCCAGGCCGTGTCCACCCTCAGCAGCCTCTTTGCCGCTGAGCTCTTTCCCACGGTGATCAGGTGAGCATGGGCTGCCCCGCCTGACTTCCTGGGTCCTGCCAGCCCAGCCCCCAGGGCCCTCTCGGGGTTGGACACCCCATACCACTCCCTCCCCAGCTTCACCCAAGACTTCTCATTCAGTCACATCTGGAGTCCAGATGGTCTTTCCGGGTGGCACGGGGGACACGGCTCAGAAAGGGCAGGAACGGAGGACGGCGCCGGCCCAGGCGGTCACCCTGCGCCCTCTCCTGCAGGGCGGCGGGCCTGGGCCTCGTGCTGGGCGCCGGGTTCCTGGGCCAGGCGGCCGCCCCCATCGCCGACATGCACGGCCGGCGGGGCTTCTTCCTGCTGCACGTGGTCTTCGCCTCCTTCGCCATCCTCACCCTGGTGTGCGTCCTGCTGCTGCCTGAGAGCCGGGGGCGCGGGCTGCCCCAGGCGCTGCAGGACGCCGACCGCCTGCGCCGATCGCCGCTCCTCCGGGTCCGTCCCCGCCAGGACTACATGCCCCTGCTGCCCCCCGCCCACTGCTGGGCTCAGACACGGCTGGCCCAGGAGGGGTGACTGGCTGGACAGACACACCTCCCCTCAGGTGGCCGCGTGTCAGTGTGGGCGGGGGGGTCTCAGGGAGGAGCTCTGGGCTCACTGTGAAGGCGGAGTCCTCGGTTGGGCCCCTTGTTCCTGGGGGCCCTGGCCTCCTCACCCCAACCACCACTTGGGAAGGATAAAAGCATCCATGGAACTTGGCATCCTCACTGGTTCTTCCTTTGGGCTGCATCCTGGGCTGGGGGGGGGGGGGTCGGTCCCCTCTCCAGGCTCTCCCATACTCGGTACCTGCAGCCCCTCCCACCGCTCCGCTCCCCTTGGGAGGCCAGTCCCCTCGGCGGGTCATTGTGCAGACCCTGAACTGGAAAGACCACTTTTAATTCACATTTGCTGGAGAGCTGCTTCCTTTCACACAAAGAGGGGATGTGCATGGATGGGGCGGCAGAGCTGGGAGTGAGGGTGACAGAGCAGTGCTCGTGGGGCTCTCGGGGGGGGGGGGAGGCACCTCCTCCCCACAGCTCCACCCCGGGCTCTGCCCCTGGGACTGTCTTCCTCGGGGGGAAGCAGGCTGCCCAAAGCACCTTGGGTGTGGGACCAGGTCCCTGTGGCCGGCTCTGCATAGGTCAGCTAGTCCTCCCGCTGCACGGCCAGCTGTTGGCATGTGCAGTCAGACTCTGTGGTCAGGCTGTCCATCCTGGGAAGGATGTCCATCCTCTGTGTCCAACTGCTGTGCCCTCAGCAGGGTGGGCGTAGGTCCCCATCAGAAAGCTCTCTGCCCTGTCCCGAGTGGCCACTGCCTCCGGCCCTCAGAGAGGCCCGTACAGGTCGGCGAGCCGGGCAAAGCGAGGGCCCCAGTCCCGGAGGCAGCTGTAGTCTTGGTCCTCGTCGCCCAGGCTGGAGAGGATGGAGCTCAGTGTCCCTGCCATGGACCCATCGCCTTCGTAGTCATAGATGAGAGCGGTGTCGTAGGGCGGGACGCTGAGGTCACTGTCCGCAGCTTCCAAGCCCTACGGAGAGGCCCCAGGAGCTCAGAACACCAGCACACGCAGCCCAGCGGCAGTGCAGGGTGAGGCCAACCACGGTATGGCGCCAGGAAGGGCAGAGGAGGTCTGAGCAGCAGCCCTGAGTGTGCGGGCACCACTGGGAGCCCCAGTCCCAGGATTCAGACTTGAAAAAAGAAGGTTCCCTCTGGCTCTCCTTCCCTGGGCCCAGCCCGCCCTGAAGACTGTGTCCTGCCTGACACCCCATCTGGGAGAACAGCTGGTCCTGCCCCTTAAAGGTTTGGCTGCGGTCTGTGCCTCCACCTGGTAATATACACATTGGCTGCTGCAGGTTGCATACCTGAACCTGGGCCTGCCCCTGGCCAGGCAGCTGTCAGGGGCAACTAAAGAGCCAGGGCACTAAGTGTGCAGGCAGGTGTGGCCCCTGGCACACTACTGAGAAATACCTGCGTGCTCCTCTGTTGCCCACTCAGTTGGATTTCCCAGGTTCTGGGCATCTCCCGTGTGGACCTTAGGACGTCAGTGATGCTGTGTCCAGAGGAGCGGCTATGGACGCCTGGGCTCAACCGCCAGCTGCACTTCTACCTGCGGTCATTGCGTTTCCTCTGCCCGCGCTGTGCACCGCGCTGCAGGGCAGCCTACAACCAGCCCAGCTCCACTAGGTCTCCCACAGGCTGATGCGGGGTCGCCAGCCCCCTCTCCCTGGGGCTTATGTGGCTGTGACCCCTGTTCCACAGCCCCGCTCAGCTCTCAGCTCGGCCCGGGTCCCCAGGAGGGAGCCCACTCCCTGCGGCTGGCGTGTACGGGGTACACGGATGCACTTGCATGTGTGTGTGTGTGTGTGCCCCCTGCCCTCTCCACCCGGGGGACCTACGTCGTTGATGAAGTCTGCCATGTCGGCGGGGCTGGTGGGCAGCACGCGGGAGGGTGGGGGGCGCGCCCAGCTGAACGGGGTGTCCCGGCGCAGCAGCGGCCGCCCCAGCGGGGCACTCAGGGCTGCCAGCTCGGACGGGTGGCGCAGCTGGCTGATGTCGTAGGCGTCCTGCAGACAGAGTGCGTGGGCTTGAGCCTGGGTCCATGGCAAGGTGGGGTTTCCATCCCAGGCACCTTTCTGAGAGCGATAGGGTTGGGGGTTTGGGACAAGGATCTGGGGAGGCCCCGACCCTTGGAGCCTGGGTGCTGGCCCACGGCCACAGTGGAACATCCTGAGCCACCACGCCACCCCCGCCCCGCCCTCACCTGGTCTTCCTCCCCGCCCCCCTGCTCATCGTAGTTGAGGACGTTGTCCCGGAGGTCGTCCTGCAGCCCCTGCAGAAGCTCCTTGTCCCATGGCCGCCGTCGGAACCGCGAGAGGATGGCCGCCGGCAGGGCGAGCACTGGCGGGCAGAAAGGGTGAGGTTGGCCCCCGAGGCGGAGGCGGGGGCCGCGGGGGTGGGGGAGGGGCTCTGAGGGCAGTGGTCCCAGGGCGTGGGCACTCACAGAGCAGCAGGACGACGCTGGCCAGCATGATGACCAGGGCGCCCAGGCTGATGCCTGTGCCCTTCGCCCTCAGCGCAGCGGCCCCCTGCAGGCAGACGCCATCCTGGCCGCAGTGGCACACGGTCACGTTGAGGAGCTGCTCGCGGTGCTGGGGTGGCCGCCCTGAGTCCCGGAGCAGCAGGCTGAGGCGGTGCAGCCCCTCCTGCACCTGGTGCCGCAGCCGCAGGCGCGCGTGGCTCACTGTGGGGGGCGCCTGAGGTCAGCGGGCCCCTCGGTGCCCCACGGGGACCACAGGACGCTGGGCCTGTTTCCATCTGCCCACCGAGTGTGCCCTGAGGCGGAACCAGCAGGACCACGTCTGAGTGCCCCCGGGTCCCAGGTCTGGGCACCACCCCCGGGCGGGGGCAGAGCTCACTGTTAATCTGGCTGAGGCTCCAGTTCCGGGCCAGCTCTGGGACCCTGGGGCTCAGCTGGAAGTGGAAGGGGGCCCCGTGGGGGGGCAGGTCCTCGTCCGTGGCACCCAGGAGGAGGCCAGGGCCCTGGTCTGGCTCGCTGCACAGGCTTCCAGATGAGGGGGACAGCTCGGGGGCGTGGTCATTGACCTCCAGGATCTCAATGGACAAGGTCCCGGTGGCCGTGCAGGGCGGGGAGGCTGCAGACAGAAGAGCTGTGGGCTTCTTGCCCTGCCAGAGCCACTGCCCACCCTCCCATTGCTCGCTCGAGGGCCTGGCTCCCAGCCCCTGGGCCAGCAGCAGGGCCTCCCAGCCTGGACCCGGTGCTCACCGTCGTCGTAGGCCAGGATGATGGCCCTGTACCAGCCGTCCTTGAGGAAGGGCGACGCTGGGCTGAGCACACTCTGGGTCTGGACCCAGCCTGTGGCTCCATCCACTTGCAGCCAGTCCTCAGGGTCATAATCCTTAGAGTATCTGTTGGCCAAGGAGGGAAAATGGGAACAGGGCGCCCCTGAGCTACATGGGGCCCTCTCAAGGTGTGGCTGCATATAGACACATAAGCATCCTCACACTCTGCATGCACACACACATTCACACACAGTCATATACAGTCACATACACTCACTCACTCACTCACACACAACACAAACACAAACACACACACTCACACACACACACTAGCTTTTGAGGCCCTAAGCTGGTGTTTTCTATCCCATTTCACAGATGAGGAGACTGAGGCTCAGGAAGGCAGGTGCACTGACCAGGGCCCTGTGGCAACTGAGTGACACAGCATCTCATCTATAGGATTCAATCATGGACTCGGTGGAGACAGACACAGATACATAGGGCTGGGCTGGAGGGAAGTCCCAGGACCAGTCCCATGGGAGCACTGCTCGCCAGGGTGGACAGGGCTGGACAGGCTGGTCAGGATAGACATGCCAGGTGTGGCCCAGTCCTGCCCTCAGAACAAGTCACACCAATATGTGCACACTTGGGACTCGGGACCCCTGGACGGTCAGGGAACGCACAGATGAGCCCTCCCCCTCTGACCTATGCCCTGATGGGAACCCTCCGCTGTGCTGCTGGCCCTGGCAGGGAAATGGGGGGCGGGGCTATTAGCTCCCTCTGCTTCCCCCCAAGGGTCCCGGGAAGGCACCTGAGCCTCTGCAGCTGCTGTGTGTCCGGGTCTCGGGCAGAGAAGGTGGCCACAGGGGTTCCTGGGGCCGCCCCCTCCGCCAGGCTGGTCCTCAGTGGATTCTCCTGGAACACGGGGGCCTCGTTGACATCCCGCACCTGCACGCTGACTCGGGCCTGACCCCGCTCCGCCCTAGGGGCAGCCGCCTGCAGCGGGACCTCGTTCTGCACCTCCACTGTGAGGTCATACTGGTCACGGCTCTCATAGTCCAGGGGCTGTGGGGAGGAAGCAGAGCCGAGAGCCTGCTCAGGACTCCGGGCTCCGGAGGCAGGTGCGGCCCGAGAAGGCCTGCAGGCTGCTGCCCCAGGTCTGTCCTCGAGCCCCCGCCCTCCTTCTCCTTTTCAGCCTTGGAAAAGGAAAGCTTATGCAGGACAGAAGAAGGCACAAACATAACGTAAAAGTGATCAGATCAGTACTCGTCCCTCAGAATGGATTTGTTGGGTGCTGTGTGCAGTGTTGTTTGGCCAGGCGGTCCTCCCAGCGAATCAAGGGAACACTCCTCTGGGTATTGACGGAGACAATTGGTAGATGTGGTCACAATAACGTCTACAATCGATTGGCTTAAGGAAAGAAGGTTATCCTGATCATCTGGGCGGGCCTCACCCACTGTGGAAAGTCGTTAAGAGCGAAACAGATTTCTGAGGAAGAAGGAATTCCACCTCAAGACGGCAGCCCCGCTCTGAGCTGACCCTGCAAACTCCAGACTTGCCCTGCCAGCCCCATAATAGTGGGAGCCAATTTCTTGCAATAAATCTCTTCAGATAGCAAAATCTAAATATATCTCTACCTTCACATGTGTGAATATGCACATGTGTGTGTACACACGGGTTTCCTGCTGTTTCTCAGGCTCCTATCTGGCTGATGCAGGTACAGTCTGCATTCACACGATTCTTACACAGAGTGGCAGCACACTGTGGACAACGCACAGGCCCTGTGGTCAGCGGGACCTGCACTCACACATTTCCCGTCCTCAGGCTCCATCCCCTCCCTCCACTCTCTCCTGAGGATGCACAGAGGGCCCAGGATGCCAGGGGGTGGGGAGAGGCGCCCTGCATGGGCGCTGGTGCTGGGGG